TTCACAGACCACCCACGACCACCTGCCCACAGGGCTGACACGCGGGCCAGGCTGGGCCCCCAGTCAAGGCTGGATTCCCTATGCGCCAGCAGACTGGCACCCAGAGCACAGGGAGGACCTCCTCTCCTCCCTGTCCTGGTGTTGTGGACAGTCATGCCCTGTCCCTTGTGTCCTGCTGGCTGCACATGCCGAGGTCATGGGCTGGCAGAACCTGTGGTCTGGGTCCTCTTGCATGGAAGGACCCCTTAGCTGGGGGACCCCTGAGTCTTGGACATGAGTTCTGGTCTTGAGGCTCATCTGTTGGCTCTCAGCTCGGGTGCCCTCCCAGTGTCCCCCTCAAGGGGCTGCCCGGACGCCAGGGTCCATGGAGGCTGGGGGGTTGGGGTGGGGGAGGGACTCTGGGAAAGCAGACTCCACAGCTCCCTCCACCTAACACACCACAGCCCAGCCTCCGGGCGTGGCCGCTCCCTTGATGGAGCGGGACCATCTGCTCAGAGGCCTAATGAGAAGGGAGCGGCCCCTCTGTCCTGGGGTCTGTGTTAATCCCCTCAGGCTTCTGTAACAGAATACCACAGGCTGAGCGGCTGAAACAAGAAGATGACTGTCTCACAGTTCTTGATCCCAGATCAAGGTGTTGGCAGGGCCAGAGTAGACAAAGGAAAGACACACACACGTGCAGGCCCTTGTTTTGGGGAGTGGGCTGAGGAGGCACCCCTGTCCCACTGGAGGCTGCCGAGGACGCGCCCGTCACCCCGTCGTCATGTGTCTCCCATTGTGGCACGGGGGGAGACCAAGGCGCTGAGTTCCAGCTCTGCACCCCTGACTGCTAGACCCTGGGCCGGGCACTCCTCAGGACATGCAATGTGCTGGTCAGCTGTCGTGGAGATGCTGTGAGGCTAACAGATGCCGGGGTTTTACACACGTTCTGCTCACTCTTTACTGAGCCGCTCACCATCTCCTCCGCGTTAGAGTGAAGGAAATGAAAACTTGGGGGCTCCAAATGCCTCGCCTGTGGCACAACCGGTTTAGACTGGGACCTCAGCATGGCCTCCGGCTTAGCGGTCCAGGCTCCACAGGGCTTCCTGCTCCCCTCTCCTCCTGAGAACAGTCTGGCTCAGGACTGGGCAGAAAAAGCACCAGAGGAGGGCAGTCCTGCCTTGGAACAGGGTACTGGCTGGTGGCTTGCCTTTTTTTTTTTTTTTTTTGCTTTTAAGGCAATGGGGCATTTCTGGGCACAGGAGCCACCTGGAAACCTCTGAGCCAACACCACCATGAGTTGTCGAGTCAGGACACACCTCTGGAACATGGGTCCCCTTGCAGGAGCCTAGACAGTCATTCAACGGCCCTCTGTCACTCAGCAGCTGACTTGCCATCCTGAGCAGCTATGGCTGCAAGTGGAAATCTGTTACTACTTTGAGCATCAGGCGATAAAGAAGAGCTCTAGGTCAGAACCCACGCCACATGCCTGCGCACCTTACTGAGAGGGCCCGTGGCTGCTGCTGCTACGCTGGATGTGGGAGCCCACGCCCTCTGCCTTTGCCGCAGTCCAGAATGAAATCCCTGCATTGACTGCAGTAGGCCCAGTTCCTGGGCACATGCTGGAGAGGAGTGGAGGCAACATGAAGAGTGCAGGCTGGAATCAAAGGACCTCCTCTAGCTCTGTCTTCGCAACACCTACTTGAGCCTGCAATCTCACGCCTGGGGAATGGAGATCCTAATGGTACCAGCCCGGGGATTGGAGGATTGGATGAGATGATGGATGTAAACTCCGTGAGGGCTGACTTCTCATGTGGAACAGTGGCCCCCATGCTAGGTGGCTGAACGAATGTGCAGTGTGGCTCCCGGCACGCCATAAGCGTTAGCTCCACCCCACACTTCGCTTCATTGCACTTTGCAGATACTGACTTTTCACCAACATTGACCCAGACCGTCCAGCATCAAAAAACTGTGGTGCTCTGAAGCTCAGATGATCATTAGCATTTTTAAGCAATAAATTATTTTTTAAAATATGTCTTCATTTATTTTAGAGCAGTGGTTCTCAAACTGTGGGTCGCAACCCCTTTGAGGGTCGAACGACCCCTTTCACAGGGGTCGCCTAAGACCATCAGAAAACACATATCTAATTATATATTGTTTTTGTGATTAATCACTATGCTTTAATTATGTTCAATTTGTAACAATGAAATTGGGGGTCACCACTACATGAGGAACTGTATTAAAGGGTCGCAGCAGGTTGAGAACCACTGTTTTAGAGAGAAAGGAAAGGGAGAGAGAGAGAAACATTGATGAGAGACATCAGTTGGTGCCTCCTGCACACCCACAACCCCAGCATGTGACCCAACCTGGGATTCGACCAGTGACCTCTTGGTGCATGGGCCCACACTCAACCACTGAGCCACACCAGCCAGGCACAATAAAGCATTTTTAAATTAAGGTATGCACTTTGTTTTTTTAGACCTATTCCATTGCTTATACTTAATAGATGACAGTATAGTTTAAACATAATTTTTATATACACTGGGAAACCAAATATTTCCGTGAATCACTTTATTGCGATACTGTATTTGCTTTATTGCGACATTCACTTGATTGCGGTATTTGCCTTACAGTGGTGGCTGGGACTGGACCTTAAATGTCTCTGTGGTCTGCCTGTATGTGCCGTGGACGGGAGAGGGCAGACGGCCCTGCTGGTAGCTGCTAAGCGCTATTTCAGTGATCATGGCCAGAGTGGAGACTGGAGAGCTCCTGGGGTGGGGACAGAGGACACAAGGTGCCCGCTGAGGGGTCTGGGTGGGTAAAGCCTGCCGTGTGGGCATTTCGAGGCCGCCATATGCTCTTTGAGTTCACTCACCAGCTTCAGTGTGGAAGAGCTTCCTTTTCCATGTCCTGGTGCTGGACCACCACTGGCCAGGGGTGAGCTGTGCTGATGGCTTCTAGGGCTGACAAGCCAGAGGACACAGCTCAGGGATCAGTGTATCAGGGTCCCCCTCAGCAGAGAGGGAGGCAGCAGGGGACACACGTGCGAATGGCCATGGAGCCCACAAGGCCCCCGCCCACCGTGAGGCTGCAGCTGGTCACAGAATTTATTGCTATGACAACCTCAGCTCCAGGATGTAGCTGCAACCTCAGCTGCACCTTCTGGACCCTCACGAGAAACCAGGCTTAGTGGGCCTGGCACCAAAAGACACGCTCAGGTGTCTAATGCAGTCGCTGTGACGGGACCAGCTCTGCAGAAGGTATCTGTGTCCTCAGTCAGGCGTTTTGCTGCTCTGGGCTTAGTGTCCTGTGTGAGGATGGGAGCTGTGGCTGCTCTCCGGGACCCGGCTGAGGTCTGCAGTTCATGCTCTGCCTTCTCCACCCCCAACAATCCTCAGAGCAGCTGTCATCTGCTGCTGCTCTGTAGGTTCTGGGTTCCCTGCCCAGTGCAGCCCCTGTGATGTCCCACTCTATCCTCACCCCACGCTGGGCAGGCGTGGCCATCGTCCCCACACAGAGGAGGGGCTGAGCGACTACAGGGGACCCCAGTGATGCTGCTGCCCACCCTTCTCTGCTTGAGGAGTTGTGTGTCCTTGGGCTGCAAAGTGATGGATTAAATGACCTTTCTCATGTTCTTCGTTTTCATTACTGACTGTCCTGTGGGGATGACATGAAAAAGTCAAGAGCTGGGTGTTCCTTGGGCTCGCTGGTTGGGCGGGCCACTTTGGGCATGGTGCCGGGCGCAGCCCTGGAAGCACCCACGCGCACCGAGACAGGAGTCCTGAATGGGAGGCCGCCACGCGGGGGTGCTCCTGCTAAAGTCCCCTGCTTCTTGGGGCTCAGTTCCTCAGCTGTGAAACTGAGACCACAGTTGGTTCTACAGCACGGAGTGTTGAGAGGATCGCCCCGGAAAGCCCCCGATGAACTCCCCGGTGTTAGCCTGCCCTGTCTCGGCATCCCAGCTGGCACAAGCATAGTGTTCGACCCTGGATGTCTCCCTGGCTCATTCTGTTAGAGAATATTAACACAAGCCTACCTGGCCTTGGACACAGAGGTCTCCGGAGACACGGCCACAGCTGGGTCAGGGATGGCCGGCCACGCCAGCAAAGGCTGCGGAAGAAGAGACACGAATGACCCTGGTTCCCACGCAGACCCGCCCACCCAAGGAGCTGCGTCCAGTGGGCCCCAAACGGTTTGGATCCAGGCTTGGGTGTGGGACTTGGGGTACGGCTGCCCTAATTCCCATGACAACCCAAGGGAAAAGCCCAAGTGGAGATCACCCGAAATGACTTTCAGGCCCATTCCTTCCCTTTGGAAGCAGCTGCCGCCCCCACACCGCTGGCTGCTAATGGCCACCCCTCATCAAATATTTATGCAGCCCTCGCGGCTCCCGCACAGGCCAGGGAGGGAGCCGATGATTAGAACTGCTCAGGGGTGGAGCAGGCGGACTACAAAGTGTCTGGGCCAGAAAGGGAAACATCAAAGCCCACATCCTTCCATAAAGGTCGCTCCCGGAAGCGGAGGCCCCCCGTGAGGAAATGAAACTTTCAGGGGGGCGAGGACAGGCCTGTGTGGGCCTGCAGGCCGCTGGGCGCGCTCCTGCCTTTCCTCGCCGGCGGCAGAGCCTGCTAAGCTCAGCCAGGGCCAGAGGCCTCACCCCAAGCCACGGGTTATGAAAAGCATGTGAATATGTCGCGGCTCAGACCTGTGACTCCCTCACTTTCGAGGGGGGCCTGGCATTTCATCAGTGCCCTGCCTGAGGCCTGCCCTTTGTGAGAAGAAAAGGGAGAGAAGGAAGAAAGGAACGGAAGCTGATTCAGAAAAGCTTCCAGTGCCCGGAGTCCTGATGTCCTCTGGCTCCGCCGTTACCTGGGGGAGCCCGTCCGCAAGACTTCCTCCGGCGTCGGCAGGCAACAGAGCCCAGGCCAGGCGCCTCAGCGGCCGGCCACGCCTTCCCGAAGGAAAGGGGCCGCTCTCGCTCTGCTCCTTTCTCGCCTCTCCCAAAACAAAAGACAAACGCAGTGTCAACAGTTTTTCAGGAGTGATCCTTTATTGTCTGAAAGTCCTAAAACCGACGCTTTTATCAAAACAATATCCTTTCTTCAGTGAATCCGAGAGACCTGAGGGCCGTATTCCCGGTGCTGCTGCGCCATCAAAACCTGCCCTCCACGGCCAGCAGCTGCACCGCGGCCTCCTGCACAGCCTGGTGGATGCGAGTCACCTCCCTCTGGGACAGAGTCCGCTCCATGTGGCGGTAGGTGATGCGGTAGCAGTGGCTGGTCTTGTGTGTCCTAGAGAATAAAAGAGAAAGGCAGTGAGTGAAGGGCACGCATGCTTGCCGCCTGCAGGAGAAGTACCACCGGCTCTGACCGGACCTTCCAACCCCAGGAGAACGGGAGGAGCTGCGGGACTCCTGCTGGCAGCTGCTTCTCTGACAGCCGCCGGGAGGGCGGTGGGTAGGGCATCCTTGGCCCCATCGGACCAGGCGCATCCAAAACCCCTGGGAGGAAGCTGCTTAGGAATGTGATCCTGGGCCAAGCCCTGGAGACCGTGGCTCAGTGGGTGGGAGGTGGCCCTGGGCTCGCGGGTGGGACTCTGAGAGCAGACAGGGTCAGGGGCCAGTGCCAGCGCCCCTCCACCTTCCTCATGTCCAAGGAAATGGCCATGTTGGAAGGCCCATTGCAGTCATCTGGGGACCCAAGACCGGCCCCAGGGACTCGGGCTGCCTGGAGAGCCGGGTGTGCCATATTAACTCTGCCAGCAGCCCTGCGGGCCGTGGGAAGCACAGACAATGTGCCATATAGACCGTGTGTCATCTCTGTGCCACGCAGACAACCACTCTAATCCTCTGCTTCTGCCAGGGGTGGGGAGTTGATTTTCACGGGCCACCGGTGGTTCCGGGAGGGTAGACATGGTGGCAGCAATGCCTTCTGCTTGCACCACAGCTGCTGGGCACCAGCACGATCTCGCAGGGAGAGCTCGCCATCAGCCGGCAGAGCGCCTGTCCCGGGGCCTCCTCCTGGCCATGCGGCTGGGGGTCTGAGCTGCCCTCTTCTTCCGAGCCCCACGCATTCCTCTTTCGCAGTTCCAGCTGCAGGCAAGCCAGTCCACGCCCTTCCTCACTGCAGATGGGGCAGCCGGGCAGGCCCGTTCTCTCTGGCAGGGGAGGCGTGCTGGGCCTCCAATAATGCCGGCCCCTGGTGGGTTCCCTCCCGGCCCCTGGAAGACCCACAGGTCCACTTCGCTGCCACCTGGGTCCAGAGCCTTTGCTGCCAGAGGACTCCTGGCATTCACAGGTCTGCTCTCTGGGCTCTCCCCTCCTTCCTCTCCTGCCCGTTTTCGTGCCAGGCCCCTTGGCTGAGTGGAATACACCAGATCAAGGAGGGCCGAGGCTTCCCATTTGCTCCTTTGCCTCCTCTCGTGTTTCCTGGAGCGAGGAGGCCGGGCTGTCAGAGGCCTGTAACTGTAAGGCTGGAGGACGCTTCCCCCAGGGCAGGGCCCTGCGTGCCAGCTGGGCACACGGCAGGACTCCTCCACCAGCTGGGCCAGAGCATTTCCTGCTCAGCCCCTGTCATTGGGAGCCATGCCCGACCCACACGGAGCTGCTGGGAGTTTGCAGCCTCCCAGCGCTCCTGTCCGGCTGCTCCATGTCCGGCCACCTCGCCCACCCGAGCCTCAGTGTCCTCTCCAATGACAGAGACAGCAGCACTTACCCACCGGCCTTTCCCGACGGGCAGAGACCTGGCGAGGCAGGGACCGCACGGTATGAAGTGCCCTACGAGTGCGGGGTGCCACTGTGGCAACTGTATTTTTTCACTGGCTCACCCTGAGCTGAAATGTTGGTAATAGGGCGCCTACGAGTTGAGATTTCCAGCCAGAGAAGAAAGGGGAGCAAAGTATCTTCTTGTTTCTATGTCTTTAAGAAAGACTTCTGAAAGGATTCTCGGGGTTCAAACAGCTTTTACAAAACTGTTGGATGAGTTAGATGTACATGAATCATTAGCATAAGAATTAATTTTATAAGTTGAGAGGATAGTATTTGGCAGAATATTTGGTGATAATTCAGAAGACTGGACTGAAAAGCAACCAGGTGTGCCTTTTCTGAACATCACTGAAAAGAGAGAAAGAGACTTCCCTTTCTTGCTTTCTAGAAGTTTCTGTATGGAGCTTTCCTGTCCTTTTGCTGGCTGGAGAGCTGCAGGGGGTGAGCTGGCAGCTGGCCGCTAGGGGGACCGGGACTCCCTGTTCTGAGCAGTGAGTAGTCTGCCCACGAAGACCACCGGGGCCATGAGCTGAGGGACAGTGCTCGTCACTGAACAAGAAGACGGATTCCTCAATGGGAGGGAAGTCCTCCGTGCCCAGCCCCACCTGTCTGGATTAGGGCTCGATTAATTCTTCTTATATCACCTGTGCAGCCTCTTTTAGGCCCAAAGCTTCTCAATCTTTCATCTGCCATGACCCTCATTGTTCCTCAAAAATAGTAGCAGCACAATATTTATGTAGCTTGTTACATACCAGGCACTGCTCTATGCTCTTTGCAAGTGTCGACTCATTTAAGCCTCACAACTCCATTGGGTAAATAACATTATTGTTCCTATGAAACAGATGAGGAAACTGAGGCACAGAGAGCAGAAGTCACCTGCCCAAGATCATGCATCTGGTAAGTGGCAGGGTTGGATTCCCAAGGAGGCCATCTGGTGGGGAGGTGTAATGGTGCAGCCGCTGTGGGACACCGTTTGGTGGGGCCTCGAAAACTTAAAGGTAGAGTTACCAGGTGACCCTGAAATTCCACTCCTGGGAACATATCCAGGAGAACTGAAAATAGGTGTTCAAGTAAACACTTGTACAAGAATTCTCATAGCAGCACTGCTCACGACAGCCAAAAGGAGGAGGCGTCCCCCAGGGGTGAGTGGGCAGGCAGCGAGGTGCCTCTGCACGGCGGGTGCACGACGCAATGCCTGTCACTGAGCAGAGGAAGTGCTGCCCATGCTTCAACATGCACGAACCTCAGCACATGCCAAGTGAACCAAGCCAGACACAGCCCACCACACACCGTAAAACCCCATTTATATGACGTGTCCAGAACAGGGAATCCATGGAAATAGGAAGGAAATTGGTGGTTGCCATGGGTCGGGGGAGAACTGTTTAACGGCACAGGGTTTTCTTCGGGGGTGATGAAATGTTTTGGAACTAGATGGATGTGGTAATTGCACAACATTGTGAATGTACTAAATGCCACTGAATTGTGCACTTTAATTTTATCCGAATTTTACCTCAATTAATAAAGCTAGAGGATTTCGTTTCAGGGCCCAACTATCAACTATGACACTGGACTGCTCCACCACATTCCTCATCTGTTCCCTTTCTGAGCTCTGACCTCTTCCTCTACCCCAACCTCCCCAGGAGGTGGTAAGGTTTGCAAACGATTGCTCTGTTCAAGGAGATGAACCGAGGCCGGGTTCCCCTCCAGCTCTGCCCTTTGGCTAACGGAGAGGGCACAAGCTGGAGAGGGGGCATCACTGGGACACGGGGTGGGAAGCGCCTGAAGTGGGTGCATTAACGAGGTGGGTCCTGCTACAGGGCCACTAGAAGGTGGCTGGGAAGCCACAGCTGCAGGGAACAGAGACCCACCTGCCACAGCCCTCAGTGGCCACAGCCTTCAGGACAAGAAACCTTCCCTGAAGGAGGTAACAGTCTGCATGACAATCTGGGGTTTTTTAAAGGCAAATTAAAGTTGTGTTTTTAATGTACTTCACAGCTTCTGCTCATAGGCAAAGTAAATGAGAAGCCATGCTGAGTGTGAGAGGTCAAACTTCAGTATGATGAGTTTGAAGAGAGTCTAAACTTTTTTTGTGTGTGAGTTGGAACTTCATTACTTTGAGATATTGGCTAAAACGAATTGGTCAGTGGCAAGAGCTTGAATTTTTAACAGAGATTTTAGTGTGAGAATCTTAGAATGTTTGAGCTTCCAGGCCTTCAGTTAGCACTACTCACTCACAGATTCATTTAGTCATTCAGCAAACAGCAGGCTCCAGGCTCCAGGCTCCAGGCTCCAGGCACTGCACTGGGCACTCAGGACTCAGGGTGCCTGCCCGGGGCCGGGGCAGCCCCCAGGGAGGACAGGTGTGGGCCTGCACGCCACACCACAGCGGCTCACAGGGAAGCCAGCGCGCCCACCCAGCCTCCCGTACCCAAGGCTTGCTCCTTTAGCAAATGACTTTCCCTCGGTGCTTCCCCATAAGCATTACCTGGTACGATTTGTCCAGCACAGTACGGGCGCGACAGAGCCTGCCAAAGGGAGCCAGCCCATGCTGCCCATCAGAGGCTCACTCACCTCCAGCGAGGAGAACACAGCGCAGGACAGCCCACGCTCACCCCGAGCAGCAGGGTATGAGTGACGCACAGCGCACGGCCCTGCCACCCCCGCCTCTTCTGCTCCCGTTGGCCTAACATCAGCTCTCATTTGAGATTCAGCTTGGCTCACGAAACTGGAAACATGACTCACACTCCTGAAATTTACTTCCGCTTGGATCCTGTTCTCTGCTGCGCTGTGATCATCAATGTCCACCGGACTCCACGTCCTGTGCGTGCCCAGCTGCTCCCGCAGTGAGGGGAGCCAGGGCCGAGGGGCGGCCGGGGTAGGATGGAGGGTGGGCAGGGCAGCAGGCAGGCATTCTGCATTTTAATACCTCTCCTTCCACAGCCCCAACCTTGGGGCCAAAGAAAAAGACGCTTAAAAGTGCAGCCCATAGTTAAGTCTGGGTTAGCACAGGACCGCCAACATTTTAGATGTTTAAAGGGAAGCTGCCCCAGGTCTATCCTTTTTTCCTGAGCAACGAAGTGATGAACTTAACAAGTTTCAAAAGTACAGCTGCTCTCCAGTCCTCAGTGTGCCAACGAGCGACTTCCCAGAAGGACTCGGGGCTTTGGAAGTGTCACTGGAGAGAAGGAACAGGGGCAGAGTGCTAGGAGGGCTGCAGTACTTTTCACACAACCACTTGGTTCACTCGGCAACCACACAGCTCTGACCTCGAAATAAAACCCTCCATGGGAGGCAGCCACACCAGCTCCTGCACCATTCATGAGGGTCAGCCTTCCCATCTGTGGCAAGAGCAGCGACTTCACATTCTTGGGGGGCACTGGTACCTCCCAGAGCAGATAGATGGTCCACAACCAGCAGTCCCTGCAGTCACCACCTACTCATGTGGGGGCTCCTTGGCCAGAGAAAGTGCTTAGAGTCCTGAGGATGGGATGCCCTGACTGTCTCCTGTCAGAACCTCGTAGGCCACGC